ACCAATACGTATTCTTTCATCATTTTCAGCTTCTTTTTGTTGGTGCATAGCTCCTTGAGAAACTTAGCATACCGTGGCACTTGCTTGATTGCATCCAATAATGGAATGTTATTTCAACCTTCCGAAAAGTCTCCAAAATCTCCTGCTCCATCTCTTCTTTCTTTGTTTTCACTAACCTGCCAGGAAAAGGAGGTGGAATCATAATTTTTGAATTGGGAACGATGGGTTAACTACTTACCTCTTTAGTTGGTACATCTAAGATTGCTGGTTTTTCTTCCTTTTTATTTCCTTAGTTACTACCAAATTTGGTGTGGTAGTCTGCACTTGCTTGCCATTTCGAAGAGTCATAGCACTAGCATTTTCTCTTAGATTAATTTTTGGTTGAGATGGCAGCTTCTTTTGGTTAGTTTCCATTTTATTCAATGCAAACTGCAAAATTTGGTTTCCCAAGTTTTGATGCTGGCTCTTGTTTCCTGTTGAAACATTTGTGTGTTAGTGGCTAAAGGTATCACAATTTCCTCTAAGGACATACCTGAGATTGATGCTTGTTTTGGAGCAGGTACCGGTTTATTGTAACCAAAAGTCTGATGTTGCGGTTGGTTATTAGGTTTTCCATATCCCAAGTTCATGCGGTCTCTCCAACCAAGAGTATATTGGTTTGAGTAGGGGTCATATTTTCGTGGTTGATTAAAAAACTCACTTACCACATTCACTTGAGGAATCATATCTTCTTGTACTTGTGGACACATATCATTGGAGTGATCTTGTACTGAATGAATGCCACATACCCTGGAGTTTTGAACCTATCCCACAACAACTTGTCTAACAAGAGAGGTTAGCTTTGAAAGTTGAGTCTCAATGTTAGAAATGCTTACCTCATTTATCTTTTTGGCATGTGGTCTACCCTTAATCCTAATTGTTGTGAGTTGGCCACCATTTTAGAGATTAATTCTCTTGTTTCTGCTAGGGTCTTTTCAATGAGGGCTCCTTCACTTGTAGTATCTATCATGGTTCGGTCCATATACAACAACCTTTCATCAAAGTATTGCGGCAACAATTGATCAGAAATTTGATGACGTCAGCAACTCGAGCATGGTTAATTAAATCTCTCCAAATACTCGTACAAAATCTATCCATTGTTTTGGAGAATCCCGTTAATTTCTTTTCAAATTGTTCCTACCCTTGAAATTGAAAAGAATTTTTCCAAGAACTTATTTTTTAAATCATTCCATGTTCTTATTGATTCTAAAGAAATACAGTAAAGCCAATCCTTCGCTTTTTTTGCCAATGAGAATGGGAAAGCTCACAATTTTATTTTTTCCTCGGTCACTCCTTGAACCTTCATGGTTGAAAAAACCACGTGGAATTCCTTCAAATGTTTGTGGGATCTTTACCTACAAGACCATAAAAGATAGACAATAAATGAATCAATCTCGATTTTAGTTCAAAAACCACCTCTATAGTAGGAAACTCAATGATAAAGGCTATTGGTTCATGTTAGGAGTTGCTAACTCCCTTAGTATCCTTTGTTTTGCCATTTCTTTCTGTTCAAAAATGGCTTTTTCTTCACTTTCAAGATCACTATTCAAAGGCATTAAGGATGGAAGATTTTTCTCGTGTCATTTTGCCTTCTTATTTGCCCTTGCTAACTTCTCAATCTCTGGATAAAAAATTAACTCAAATGTACAAGGAGATATTGGCATAAATCAGCTTCCTATTAAAGGAAATATAGATAAAAACCTCTCCTCTAATGGTGTCAAATTTTTGGTTAGTTGCCAAAACTTCCAAAACTATACTGATTTTTACTATCCAAACAAAGAAATTTTTATAATAAGATAATGAAAACTAGGTCAAACCCAAGGGAGATTTAATTCTAAATATCTTGCAAGAAACCCAAATCAGGGAAGAAAGGGGGATTGAATCAAGAGTTTAATATTAAATTTAGGAAAAATTAAAGAAACTAATCAATTAAAAATAGCTCAGTTCAAAGGTCATTCACTCCACTAACTCGGTTGATCATTGAAGTGTAAGATTATCCCTTCAATTCAAGTAAATAAATTTAATTGCATTTAAAGCTAAAGGAACTCGAGACATTCTGTGGTAAAATTAATCAGAAAAAGCTTCCAATTAATTCCTTGTTATCAAGCGAATTCAATATTGAAAGTCAACCCTCATTCACTCAATAATAGCATTAAAACAAAAAATGTAAGTTTATTCCAAACAACCATTCAAAAGCTTAAATTATTTAACTTGCCTTATTTTCTCCCTAGAAAATTAACATGAAAGGGGTAAACATTCAAATTATTTACTTTGCTTCTTGTTTTATCCCTAACATCAAATACTGATTGAAAGGAACTAGAACGCATGTATGCAAACATCAAAACTACTTCAACAAGCGAGAAATAGTAATCAATTAGATAAGAATTAAAACAAAAGAGAAACAAATGCTTGAATATAAAGGAATTACAAATCCTGAACGTTACTCCTAAAAAACTGAGGATGGAGATGGTAGTTTTTTCCTTGAACTAAACTAGAAACTAGCAACACATCCTTCTAAAGAAAATGCAAAGAAAAGAAAGAAACAAAGGAATGAATAGGACGCTCCTAGTGTCTTCTGTTTCTCCCTATTTATAGTTAAACAAATGCCCTAATGATAAGCTATCAAGGTTAAAGATAAGAGATGAGACATTTGAAAAGTCTTTCCAATCCCACCAAACTTCTTTTCAAAAATTGGATTACAATTGAGCTCTCTTTTGATTGGCTTGATAAGATTTCCAAAATTCAACTGTATTTCCTTGACAAGTGTTTTGAAAATATCTTTAAACATATTTCTGCTTAACTTCCACCACAATATCCTTGATTTTCCTCCCTGTCTTCCCAATTCAATCTTTTAACATGTTTTGCTGAAAATAATAAAAAATACACTTATAATTTGACAAAAATTCATAATAAATGCTAAGCTAATCATATCATAAATAGATGTAAATAATGGATTTATCTCAAAGCTTTTGGCAACATCAATGGGAAGCTGCCATGGTACCACTACTTTTGACCTTTTTGCCATCCAACCCTCATTCTTTCTTTTAGGTTTCAAAGGTAGCTTATTGTTAATCAATATTATTTTTTGTGTCATTTTTTTGTGTCATTTTACATTTCAAAAGGGATAATTTTAGGAACCTCCCTCGAGATTTCTAACAATATCACATAAATACCCTCTAATAGTAAAAATTACATTGATCTCCCCTTGATTGACATGTTTAATAGCAAAATTAGCCCATGTTATATAAAGTAACCTTAAAAGTGAAAGAAAAGTGCTGACACATAATTTTCTTCCAAATTTACCCTCTTTGTCTCTAGAAGAAAATAATTAACACTTTTGATGAGGAAAATGCCAATAAAAAAAAAAGCAAAAAGATTGCCACCAGTATGATCCTCTCAGGAAAGCCAAAAAAAAAAAAAAAAAACAAAATGTTACACTTTTGACCATTGAGCCTAAGAAGAGCCATTGGTAGTGCAACAGATCTTTCATGCCAACATATAAGGCTGGTGAAAATGCCAAAAAAAATTCATGCCAACTTTAACTGAAGATATTCTGCAAACAAAGTCATTTGTGATCATCATCAAGTAGCATAGAGGTACGTTCATAAGTGTAGCATATAATCTTCTAAGAAGTTGAAATTATATCTATGACAAACATTAGGTGCCATTAACATGATAAATAATAGTCAATGCTTAGAAAACTTGTAAGTAGGTTTAATAAACCAAAAACAATTTTGTCTTTCACCTCTAGTGATTTTGGTGGAGCCTAAATTTTGGCATATTAGTCACTTTTTTTGCAGAAATCCTTCACCAAATGAAGTATCATGAACGGCTGAGCCTCTTGTTTCCTGATTTTTTAAAAGTTATTTTGGTTTTTCTTAGATAATGTTATTACAAGTGCTATTTGGTGCCAAGTAGCAAAAAAAAATTTTTTTTAAGCAATTTCTTTTTCTCATATTTTCAATATTTGTTGGCGTAGGTTTTTGAGGGCAATTTAGTCATTTGAAAGCTCCTGATGGTGACATTTGGTCATGTCTACATGAAAGGGAAGGCCTGTGTAATTTCTAATATTAGATAGTATTTATGTGACATTGTCAAAAATCTTGAGGGAGGTTTCTGAAATTATCCTTTTTAAAAATTACAATTTAGCTCTAAATTAGTTAGTCATTTCAAAAGTTCTTACTAAAGTTGTTACTTCTTATCAACTAAACTATTATTACAATTAAAGTACCTATATTGTAGTCCAATTCTTGATGACTCTCTAATTTTTATTCATTAGTTCACAAGTTTTTATTCTTATAATCAAGAAATTTCACGTTTTATTAAAGTTACTTCATTTTTCATTTTCTTTTTAATTGCTCATGTTTTGTACAATATAATTTTCTTTATTGCTTTTGGATATGTTATAATCGTAAAAATGATTTATTTAATCTATATTATATTATTATTTCAATTTCTAAGTTATTTTCATCAATGATGAACTCAACAGTTTAATGATATCCATTAATCAGCTAAGCACGGATTTATAGGATTTTTGTTATTGGTATATATGATAATAAAAATAACATAATAATTCTTTATGTCATAATTATGATGTCACAAGTCAACAATGGCTTGATAGTGGTTAGTTCAACCATTGAACCAGTACCCTTTATCTAGTAAAATATCAGTTTAATGAATGGTCTAGGTTTAAAAACCTTGCTCATAAGCTTCTCATTACCTAATTTCTTAGGCAACTTTTTGAAAACTGATCAAAAAGTAATGATAATTGAAAGCCAATAGATGTTTTTCTTGCAAGGATTCTAGATAATTGAAAGTAAAGTTTGACATCATTGAAGCAAGGAAACAGAACACAAATCTTATTCGTAAACACTTTGGCAAGAAAAAAAATGACATTTACACATACAAAGTTTTATAACAGTGGCGAAAATGCTGATGAAAACCAGAGACCATTTGTATCTTCACAAAGTTTGGGTTGGTAGATCAGGTGATGGATCATACAGGGTCGCAAGCAGGCGAAGATTTTTTTTTGTTGGTGCAATTATTCGTACAAGATCTTCCATGTCGAAATCACTAGAGATGGGACCATTTAGGAGCTTCCTGTTGAAATGATAGAGGAGAAGAGCTAAAGGAAGCTCAATGTTGGCGAAACCAAATGGAATTCCTGGGCAAATCCTCCTTCCAGCACCAAATGGAACATATTCAGAGTGACTTCCATTGAAATCAATGGAATTGTTTTCAAATCTTTTTGGTTTGTTACTATCTAGATCATCCCAAAACTTGGGGTCTTCCAATTGCCCAGGCATCTTGTTTGTTGGGAATGATATATCCATCAATTTCACATTCCTCCCTGCATTCTCTAGGAATCTAGAGGAACACGAGGGTGTAACCTGAAATTTTCTTTTATCACTAACTTTAGGTACTCCAATTCCTGAACATCACTTTCTTCAATTGTATATTTTCGGTGAAGGTTTTCGTACTTTGATTTGTGCCTTAACCACTTGGATTTTTTATCATCTTGGAAATTTCCCATTCCACTGTTGCTTATGAAGTTTCAGTTCCGTGGAAAACACATCCTGCATGAAATGATAAAATTCAATTTGTTACCTAAACAAATGCAATGCAAGTCAATGTGCTTGATTACCTGAAGAGCATATGAAGAAAATGTGACAAGAAAGAACATCACCATCAAAACAGCTTTGATGTCGTCGTTGGTACTTAGAAATTGAAGGTCACCACGTTCTTTAACTCTGAGAAGAGCATCAGTTAGATTCTTATGGTCAAATTCTCCAGTGGCCGTTTTTGTCCATGCTAGATTGTCAATATGGTGATCGATTATGCTGTCCAAAACTGTATCTAGTTTATGGCGCACGTCTAACAACTTAGACTTCAGTGAAAATAGCGGATGTGAATTCTGAGGGATGGAAAGAGATAAAAAAAGTCAATGGTGCCAGAAAGGAACAATTGTTCCTTGTTCAACTGTAAGAATGCCTTGAATTGATCTTTGCTTACCCTGCCAAGTGCTGCTCTGCAAACATGGAGCTTGAGTATGAGGACAGTTTTTCCTTTAAATCAATTGACTCTCCAGCGTTAGTCAGAGCCTTAATCAATGTAATAAGATCTGAAGCCTCATCTTGCTGAATGGAGATAAATGATAGGACGCATTTAACACTAGAGTTCTGGAGAGCATAGCTTACGCATGTGTCTCCAATAGTCACCATATTCACGGACTGCAATATCTGAACATTTATAACATATGATCTTGGCTGATAGAAACTGTGTCCGAATCGCAAAGGCAAGATCATGAGTTTTCAATATCTCTTTCGCTAAACACGGTGATGATATAACAATTGAAGAAATTTCACCCAGCTGAAGGTGCATCAATGCTTTATGCTTTTGAGCTAACTTTCTGAGAGTATGATGAGGTTGGGAAACAATCAAACGGTTCATATTTCCAACAATAGGTAGCTTTGATGGAGAAGGGGGCAGCCTCTTTGCTGCGTTGGATCTCTTCCATCGCTTTCCTATACCTACAATAAAGGCAAGAAACAGGGAAAAAGCAAAGAAGTTAAAGGGAAGTTTCATTGCAGGGGATTCTCTGTGCTCTAGTTACATTGCCACCCCTTTTATTTACCTGATAGCTATCGATTTGAAAACTAATAATTGTTTTTAAATTTTGATACAACACGCCTTGATTTATATCGATTAGTTAGAGAGTATTTGAGTCTGATGAGTCTTTTATGATAATGGTTAAATCAGAAACATATTCCGAAGACCACTCAAATCTTTGTCTAATCATATATTCCTCTGATCAGATGCTATTTGTCACCTTCATATATGTGGGACAATTATCCATACTGAACCGAAATTGAGGAGTTTCAAAATGTACCTCAAATTCCATGGTAAACGAACAAATGTTCAATAACATTAGCTAAGTAATAATTGAAAATTTCATATATGTAGTGTAGCTATCACCATTGATTATGCCTTAGTTGCTTATTACGAACTATGTTTGCTTGACTTGCATGCACAATAGTCACTGGCACATTTGATTTCTTCTTTTTTTTTGTCTTTTTCTTAAGAAGCTACTATTCCAGACTGCAGTCTATTTCATTATAGAACTTCAAAAATTTGCTATCAGTAATTATACAAAACTTCTATAACTATTTTACAGTTCCTAATAGGGCTGCTGGCAAGTTGAACTGCTCGCAAGTAGCTTGCAAGTGGCCCGGTCAAATGCTCAGCTCGAACTCAATTTGACCGAGTTCAAGTTTGAGCTCGAGTATCTTGATACATATATCAAGTCGAGTTCGAGCCTCCATTTATCTTGATGCATATACCAAGTCGAGTTCAAGCCTCCGTTTGTGCTACTTGAGTGCTCGCAATGTAGCTTGATTATCAGTATATTATTTATATTATATGTTATTTTAATTATGAAATGACTAGTAAGGATTTATGTTTTAGATAATTTATCATAAATATTGTCTACTCAATAAAATTCATAAATGGAAAAAATGTAATATGGTAAAAACAAAAAAGCAAATGAGGATTTTAGATAATTTACCATAAATTTTTGAGCCTTTTTTTGAGCCTTGGAGCTTGTTAAGGCTCGCGACTAACGAGTCGAGCTCAAATTTGGAAATACATATTATTCGAGTCAAATTACATAACTTTCTACTCGTTCGAGTCGAGGTCGAGTTCGAGTAGGCTTGTGTAGGACTGAGTTCGAACTTGATTATAGCACTATTTGAACTCGACTCGACTCGTTAACACCCTAGTTCTTGACGCATTAGTTGTAATTTTTGTCATAGGCAGGGCTAAAATGATAAGAAATTTTAGTTCTCTAACATTTCTTCTGAGATTCAGGCCAATACATAAGCATCGCATTTAGCTGATGAGATCATTACAACTGGCTCGGTTAAAATATTTGGCCTGTGTAGAACAACTACAAGCAGTCATCCTACATATGTAAAAATGGAATTCTGCCTGATACCATTTATGAGGTGAATATAAGTTGGACAGAAAATGTGATTTTGACTATTATTTCTTTAGTTGAAAGGTTACTCTGCTTTTACTCATTTCTGTCATTACTAGTTTGGGAGGACTTGCAATGTACTTCTTATGTGTTTTCTCATTGTCACAGTTTTTCGTATATACTTTTTCTTATCAACATTGATAAGAAAAGGGAAGAACCGTTTAGCTATGTAATGTCTTCTTTAAGTGTGTCTAGCTGATTGGTAATTTAGATAAAAGCTACAAGCATTGCTACACTATAATAAACTAGTACTGCAAAACAAAAACTACTTGATATTGAATAACAAATGGAAATATTATTAGCAAAGTCATAGTTAGGTTGGTTTTTCACTTGTTGAAAATCATTTCTTTACTAATTGTTGGTACTGGTCTAGTAGTATAGACGATCTTAAAAAATTACTGTAAGCAGCTGAAAAATACGTTGGCAAACGAACTAACATGTAAGCATACCAACATGATTGGATACATCTTCACAGGTATAAGTTGTTTGTCTCTATAAATAAACACCAATTACACAGCAAGATACAATTGCAGCAGAGCACTATTACGTATCTATTAGTAAACACCTCAACTCTCAAGCATCCTTTCTCTTCCAAAACTCTGTAAAATTATAGATTTGCATATCTAACCTAAATACTTTAAATTTAAACCATAAAAATTGAATCTTTTTGAACATAATAATATCAAGAGCCAGCATAAAAGTAACGCCGTGCCCCTTTCCTTTGGGAGGGTTCAAATGTAACCAATCATGCTGGTCTTTTTGCACCAATATTTGCTATGCGATAGTCAATAAAGTCACCTTCTTAACTGATTTGCTTATCAAGCATTTCCTCTCATTTGCTTATCCTTCTATCTATCCAAATATTACTGAATCTCTTAAGTTACCATAGCTCCAGCTAAAACTCACCAAGAAAGAGTATGAAGAAATCAATGTTGTTGTTGCCGTTCTTGTTGGTATGTTTGAGGGCGCAGAGCAAACGAAGGTGTGGAAGTGATTTCTCAATAGTTATGTGCAATGATCAAATTAGGTTGGTGAGTTTTTAGTCGAATAAGTCAATGATTTTAGCTTTTTTAGCAATGATACGAAGGAGGGTGAAATTGTGAATTCCAACTCTCATATTGTAACAATGCAGTTCTCTTATCCAATGACTAATACTAACACGAATACCACAATAATATTTTTGGTTACGTATTTTATGTTGTTACTCTGGAAATTAATTTGACTTTGAATTTATTCCTTCCTAATCCAACAATTTTAATTACTTTGAATATCCCATTAATTATCTACAAATTAATAGGACAACTATTCAAATAAATGTTATTCAACTACTTACATATTAGACATCCCTAGAAAATACCAGAGTACCATTTATATACCATAGTTCTTTCTAATAAAGTTTATATTGAAGCATTATCATTCTTTTTTTCTCAAAATTTGAATCAATTAATACAAATTAGTAATTGCAAAAAGAATTTCCTTTGAGCAAAAATTGACCAGGATGACAAGATTAATAGGACAAAACAGAGTTATTTCATATCGTGAGAATGTGTGCACTAAAAGAAAAGGAATTGGACCATGCATTCAAAGTTTTAGAATGACAAAACCAAAAACTAAAATAGAAATTTTTGAAAAAGGAAAAACATAAGCTATCCTCCAACTGAAGTCTAACTTAATAACATGAAATTAGTAGCTTAACTACATGCACGAAATTCATAGGGAGTAGCCACAACAAAAATGTAAGTAAATCGTAACCACTGTGTACTGTAGAACCTAATATGTATCATCTTCTCATTCTTAAGTAATAAAATAAAATGAAATTGTTGATACTTATGATCTCAATATATGATCATCCATTTTAGTATAATACTCAATTGCTTGAGATTGAGATTTTCGTTGATATTTAAAGTTTTAGAATCTCTAATTGGTTATTAGTTTTCCACAAATTGTATTGGGTTCCAATTTTAGCTAGTAGGAATATTAGTTACGTTACTGTGAGGACCTAATTCAACTCTTAAGTTTTCCTTTTTCATGGTAATGTTTAGAATCTTTTCTTGAGCAACAAAAAAAAAAGTTATCTTTTTTCTAAAACTATGAGGATGAAAGCAGATGCTGCCCTCCCTACCATCCATATTTGTAGAGTTAAATTCTATAACAACAGGGAGATGAATTACAAAGAGTAGAAATAGTAGGTTTTCTTAGTCGCACCTTTTTGGAGTAACACCTTTAATGTATTACTAGAGATCTTGGTCCTTACAACATCAACTTTTTCTACAGTTGTATTCTCTATATTTATATATATTTAGATCAATAATATGTTAACCTTTCTAATTTTTTTATAAGTGTACAATTTTACGATCAAAACCGTACAACTAACTAGAGATGATGAATACAAATGTAATAAAACAAACTAACATTGCAAAATAATTGACAAATATGATAAGAACAACATCTCAGGTATAGTGGCAACATATTAACTTAGCCAAGGCCGGAATTTTAACTTCTAATCATGGTAAGAACACCTTAAGGGTGGCTTCCTTTAATTCAATCAATCAAATTTATTTATACAATTCAGTTAATTGCGTAATTCCATCGCAACTTAGATTTTGCTATTATGTGGTGAAAAAATTACCCATTTTATTGCTATGCTTTAAATTTTTTAAAATGTTAGAAAAATTGATCAATGTCAAAAATTAGGGTTTTCGGTATTATTTTTATTTCTTTTAGTATATGATTTTGTAATCTCTACAGGCATATGTAGGACAGTTTTGTAACACATTTTTCTTTAATTATAACATATATCTTTGGTTATCAAGTTTTGAGAGTTTTCTCACATTTTCTTTGAATCTTTGATTTCTTTTTTGGGGTTTGATCATATATCGCCTCTGAATTATTTTCTTTGAATATTTGATTATTTTTTGAGATTTGATTGTGTATCACCCTTGGATTACTTAGATGGAGGATATTCGTATAACCCATTCTTCTTACACGCTTCCACTACCATATCACAACAGCAAGAGATTTACAAGAACAACTGTAATCCATTGATACAACAGCAAGAGATTTACAACAACAACTATAATCCACTAATACAACAACAAGGAAAAGGATTCATGACTAGATGTATCTGACCATTCCTCGACTGATGTCTTTTCTAGTACAGAGATTTAGTCTCCTTTAGGGAGTTGAACAGTAGCAGAGTTTTATATAAATTCAGTCTCCTCCTGGGAGTCAAACAGTAACAGTGTTTTATTTGATAGGCAAACAGTAACACGAACAGAGTTTTATATGATAGGCTATATGTGTTATTGTAATTTGTTTTTGTTCAATAGCATTTACCAGTTCCTCGTTGTGTCTTTGTCTATGGTCTTTTATGGTATTTTTCTAAGAATGATTGAATCATATCCGTCGAACTTGCAGTTGCTAATAAGCCTGTAAGCATAGCACATAATTTTGTAGGTCCAACAAGATCCCAATGAAGTGTGTACATTCAAAGAGGAAAGGAATTCATAGTCCAAGCCTGCAACATAGCCCTGTAGGTCTAACAAGATCCTAATGGAATGCGTACAGTTAAAGTGGAAAGGAATTGATAGTCCTATGTGGTTGAATTGGTCTGTGTTTGATTTGCTTGGCTAATTTCCTTTTGACATTTCTGTTATTTTAACTTTTGCGATGTGAATAAAGTTGGTTTCATTTTTGTAGCGTGTTTCATTTGAAACAATTCGATGATGATTACCCTTTCCAATCTATCTAAACTTTGCTGTGCATAACGGATTATGCATTTGGGCTTAAAAGTTGGACTTATCCGAAAATGAATGAGCGATATCTAACATTTGCTCTGCGTAACAGATTATGCATTTGGGCTAAAG